GAAGGAAGAAACTCGCGTCGAATTCCGAAAAGAATTTATAGAGAAAACTTTTTCATAGCGAATGTAACCTAGCGCTTGTTGAGCCGCGAAGTAAAATATGACTTTAAGGTAACAGCATTGCAACGTTTCCTTCCCTGGAATAAAATTCTATTTGCGAAGGGAACACGGTAGCTCCGAGCAAGAAAATGAAAATCCAATCGTCCGATTACACCATTTATTATTCTTTCATCTAATGATTTATGTTGGACAGACGTGCAAATCGCTATAAAGAATTACGTGAGAAAATGTACACGCGCAATTTGCGTAATATGTCTAATTTCTGCCGAACTAAAGAGATACGTTTAATCCCATTGTGTTCGCCGGTAGTTATTCAAAACATGGTCACGAGAAATGTGCCACTTTGTGCGGCAGGAAATTGGATAATTGCTCTAGTAACAAAGCGAGAAACGGAAAAGACAAGAAAAAAGCGATACACCGTGCGAGAAGATATTTAAATAAAAAGCTGTACGAGCGGCCGTAAACGTTCTAGGTTCGAAATGTAAAAATTTCGGTTAATTAGCAGTAAGAGCAAAACTGGTTTCGTCCCGGGACGTAGTTGGTTTCAAAAAACTGGGACACGACTGGCGCACCGGCGAGAGCGTAGAAAAATGGAACGCCTCGAAACAAATCTCGTCTCACAATTAGAATCCAAAAGGCGTTTCACTGTGATCGGGCGTGTTCAATTCGGTGGCGTCAACGTTATTACCGATGGATATCTTCCCTCTGACACTTGATTCCGAAAATCATAGTTAATCGCGGTGGCTCGTTAGCGACGCCATTCGGACCCTGCGGAACGTTATTTGTCTAGGGCCGTCCCGATTATTCGTGCGAACTGGCTCAACCGTAATTACTCGTCCGCTAATTCGGTCCATTACTCGATGGACTTCAAAGAATATTTCCCGTGCGATGAACTCGTGATACGTGCTTAACACTATCGACGCGGCCTGATCCCTTTTTCGGCCTTTTGTTTTTCTTCGTTTTTTCATCCCGGTAAGAAAATGAAGTTTGTTGACCTTTCCTGAGGGCCGTAATGGTCTTGAACAGAAGTTACCAACCCCCTCGGGGACTGATTGATTTATCCGGCTCGTGTCGACGAATTATTATTCGTCCCTCTTTTCCTGGGAAATATAATTGATCGTGCCTTCATGGAAATGGGAGACAGAAAACTAGGAACTACGGTTGCTTTTGTCTGGAAAGAATCAGCAGAAACGAGCAATCAAATGCGAAAGGGAATTAAACAGAGAGAAACAGGGATGGTTTAAACGAATTTGTTCCGACGCGAAAAATTCGTGAGTTTTTTACCCTTGTGAAAGAAATTGAATTCTAACGGTGAAGGAAGAGCGCGGCGCCGAGGTGAGGAAGGGAAAGAAAAGTTTCAGCGACGAACAAAGGCACGTTGATAAACGTTTATCGAGGAGCGTTAAGAAAAGAAAAAATTGCGATTATTACAGAACATGTTAGGATTAAACAGGGCTGGGGAAAAGGTAACAGAGCGAAAGGGGTAAAAAGAAGTAAAATCGGGAGGAGACGAATAAAATCTCCTTTCAAATAAATTTCTCTTCAGAAGCTCTTCCAGAGGGCTTGATGATCTTCCTTTCTTTGTAGAGGAGATTGAATTCCACGGCGGGCAAGAATTTTACGAATAATAGAAACCGGACGTTGAAAATAATTCGTGAAGTAATACTGGGTATAATAACACGGCTAGCAACTCGCTATTTAAATGAAAAAATTTTAATTAATCCGTTCGTTTATCTTCAGAGATAAAACGCTGATTCTCCGTTTGGCTATGTCTATTTGTTCGAAGATTATTTATATTTTAACGGAACGCTTAACATTTCTTCAGCGCACGTATGCGTATGTATGTATCTGTGTATGCATCTTTTTTACGTTTCAGCAAATGTTTATATACATATATTTTTGTAATATTTGTCTGAATAACTTTATCGCTGGCGCGTTGAGTTAAAACAGGCAACGCCGAGCATACAAGGCTTTAGTATTCACGTAATATGCATGCACAACACACATACGTACATACATACGTACGTAGCCGTGCATTTCTCTTTATGAGTTCTGCATAGTCGTGAACTTAACGATTTTCCTGGCCGCCGCGAAAGAGATTTCTAGCGAAAAATTCATAGGCCTTTGACGAGCCGAGTTTATCTCGCAATTTCTGCAGGATTCACTCCAGTGTCATTATCGTTTCATATTTAATCGTTACGTTCTTTGTATAATTTCGTTCGCGTAACAAATGATAAGAGAATTTTTCCTTCGTTCTAATTAAATTTATTTATATTCGCGAAACAAAACATGGACGATAGTAAAATGTTGATATCGAGCAAAGAGCGGAAAAGTAGATTTCTATTCAAATCCGATATCAATTCGGGACTAGACGCTCATACATACACGTCTTTCAGCGAGATGAAAAATTCGAAAAGAGTATAAAATCCCGGTTGGACGAAAGCGTTTTAAATAATCGTTGATCGATCCCTTTGATTGCGTTGTTAACTCATTTCCTTCGAAAATCATTCGATCAGCCAGATAACGTATTACGTTGACAAACAGAGCGGCGATTAGTGGGACGTTATACGCCAATGGTGATATAGGCGAGCCTGCAGTCTGTTTAAATCCACTGGCGTAGTCGGCCAGTTTCCGTTCGTCCGCGAAATCGTGTTTCAGCTAATCGTATTTATGATTTACGCGTTGACAAATCGCTCCTGGCTATCGCGCGCCTACGCGAAAATACTTTTTCCCCACATTTCCTCCCTCGGATTTTTATTGTGCAAAACCGTTGACCGCTGCTCACGTTTTACGCGCTCTCATAATTAATTTCTTGATCTTGCTCTCGTTGTTTGAAATTTAATGAGAGTACGAAAGCTGAGAAGCAAATGGAAACCGAGAACGGTTTCTCCGGAATAATAATTGCCAGCCCTCCGGGGAAATTGGGATTGTTGGAAAACATTGATTTAATATAAACGTGGGCTGGAAAGCTTTGTTTGGCTCAAAATCCAACCGCGACGGTAGATCGCATGTATTTTCCTTTTAGAATCGAATGAAATATACTTTACTTTAATTAACAAGTTTCCGGCTCGTTTTCTTCCTGTTATTATTCATTTCATTTGCATTCGAATGGATTCAATTACTCGGAAAGACGTTTGCCAAGAGATACGTTGATTTGATACTCGTGGGTTATTCCCGGGCAATTTAGAGCGATTTTATGAACGGAGGATTTAATTCGATGTTTGCCGGATTTCTTTATTTGCGATTTTGCTGAGGCGGCGTGACGAAAAACGGGGAAAGGCGCAGAGAATGCGGCCACACCGATGCATCCGCCTATGTACCGTCCTTGGCAGTACCCGCGGTGGGGAATTATTGTCCGGTAATACTGGTTCCCACGATTCCCCTCGCCGACAATAATTTTCCCGGTTAGCTTCGGAGAGGGTTTCACAATAATAGGAAAAAAGGCGACCCTCGCTATTCAGGCCCAAAGCGATTATTTCTCACTATAATTTAATAACGGCTCGTATTTTGATAACGTTATTATTTCGTGCGATTTCAATGAGAGAAAGAATACCAATTTTTATACACGTATCGGAAAGTAATAAAATAATTAAACAAGAAACAATAATATTTCGTGGAGGATTGAAAATTTTTTTTAACCCGAAGTAGGACGCGTGACGAGGAAAAGTTATGGCGGTAATGATATTTCAACTAAAACGTTTTCAACTGGGGAATTTTATCGAATGGAGAATTTAATTTAATTCAATCGGATGGAATAACTACGGAATTGAATAGCCTATTACGCGGAATTATTCATTTACCTGTGCATTTGCTCTCTACGCTCGTGGAAACGTACTGTTTCTGTGTGAATTCATCAAATCAATGTTAGGAACACGCCAGGGAATACGAACACGGTCACAATCACGTACGCTACCCGCACCAATACAACGTAACGCTTTAGACGCCTTGGAGCATCTTAACGTTCGCTCGTTGCCCATTCGACCCGTGCTTTCTCGTCAATTTTCAATCGACGCTAAAATACCATGGGTCTCGAAATTGTCTAAATATTAAATCGAATAATTGGAAACTCGATACTAAAATTCTCTAATGTCGTTTATTCGCATTCCTAAATGTATAATATAACCAATTAATTAGAAGAACAGTTCATGGCTTTTTTATATAATTATTTCAGACTTTCGTAATAAACCAAATCATACGTCCACGTGATAATTGAAAAAAATCAGTCGACTCGTGAATTGATACATCGAACACGTGATGGAAAATAAGTATTGTTCGCCGAGTGATGAAAATCAGTTAATTTAATCAAGTACAGTTTACGAGCAGCACAGAAAAACGTCGGAACGCTTTCGACCTTCCAACAGTTTCGTCACATGGGTGGTCGAGTGCTCGCGAGCGCACGCCCGAGTAGGTGTAGGCACTTATTCACCACCACTACACAGTAGATGCCTTCGTCTTCTTGCAACGGCTCGATGTTTACTCGAACGTTATAAATTTAAACTTGAAGCTCGCCTCTAAATATTTATGAACCTACAAGTCATAAGCGGTAATAGGACGTAAGGTAAAACACGATTAAAGTACAATCAACGTTTACAATTATCGTTTCAGCTTGAAATTATTCCCCTCTCGCGATCGCATCGGCAGGTGTTGCGTTTCCTTTTTCCTCCGACCGTTACGTAACGTTATGTTGATGCGTCTTATCTTCGGTCCGGTCCGTCCTAGCCAACCTGGCTGCTTAAAAAAAAAAAAAGAACATAACTGATGAATCGTCGTTATCGTTATAGTCGACGTCGAGTGAGAGAAATTTCATCTCGTTAATAGACGAAATTCGCATTAGAACTCTAGATTGAGAAACCCGTTCCGGTTTAGTGTCTCTTGGCTTATCGGAAACGTGCTTGGAAATGATATATTGCATCAAGTGACAAGATCGTAATCTAGGATTGATCAGTCGAATTGCAAACTAGATTTCCATATTTTTTTTTTTTTTGTACTACTAGGTACGTCCGTCGCACTGATTATGAGCAGATTGTGATACCTTGACTCGAAGCGATCGATACATTTTTTATCGTTTACGTATATGAGAATGTTTATCGAAAAAGAACGGAAAGGGGAGCAGAAGGCGTTTTAGAGTCGGCTATACCGGTTTATAACTGACAGCTGTAAAGTGTTCGCGCGTTGTTTGCAGATGTAACTGACGTTCGCAAATGTTTGTTTCTCTATTTTTTCGCTCTATCTCTTTCGAGCTCGGCCCGCTCCTCGTCCGAGTAAAATAACAATGTATCGTTTTGCAACGCGGCAGTAATTTTGTCTTATACCCGGACTGTATTTATTACGGCCCCGCTTTTAGTTCCAAATCCCTCTCTTCATGGATTTATTTCGTCATTAAAACTGACTGAAACGGATGCGCCGTGGCNNGGGGGAAACGAAAATTTGGAATAACAGTTTAAATTACGGCAACGCATAAAACGGAGGGAAAGAAAAAATCGCGGTGGGAGTTTCAAGGTCTTCGAACAGCCTCAAAACCTTCGACAGATTTTATTCAGATGTATGCGGAACGTTCCATTGTATATTTTATACTACTCGAGAGTCGATTTATTCCCATCACTGAGTCACAACGTAGTGGCTGGCTGTAAAAGAATTCAATATCCCGCAGTAAGTAATGGTAAAGGGAAAAGGGAGGAAAGTAAGATTCGAGTTCTAAAATACACTCTCGGCGTAAGAACGCCGCTTTGCGAGGATAATAAATAATTTCCCTTGTGCACACGGGTTTACTGCGGTTTAACGTACACTTTAAAGGTCTTTCGCACTTTTTCCGAACTCCTCGCACATCCACTTTATTACTGTGTATACGCTGCTGCCTATTATCGACGTCGCCGTATAATTACTCGTTAGATAAATATTAACGACGGTCAGAGAGTATTAAGTGTATTAGCGGAGTCCAGAGGGCACCGGTTGAAAGCAGTTAGCGCAATTACGACTAAGTACACGACTCCGTTTTCCGTGCATTAAATCAATCCGAGCGTTATCATCGAACCGGGGCAGACGGGTACCTCGCGGTGTCTCCGTGTCGACGTTTCAAAACCTGCCTCCAATTCTTTTTCTTCTTTTTTTATATCCGTTACTATTGACTTGGCCGAGTGTACGCCGTATAGGTGTTGCAGCTTTCCTTATTCACTCGGTTACGCACTGACGCGCGCGTAATTACACGCGACAATGACGAAACGAATAGTGACGCGAACCTCGGAACAATGTACAGCACGTACCGACTCCGTGCATTAACAAGAGTTATTTACATTTTTAAACGTCCCCGTTGAATCCGAGAATTTTAATTCTATTATGCTAGAGAGAAATTTTCTAATGACGATGATTGCGAGACTGTAACGAGCTGGATGTTTGTACGTAATTACGTTTATTATTTAAGCGGAAAATTAATTGAGGTCGTATAAGAAGGCATTAAAATTGATATTAACAGCGCTGTAATCTAGGATGGGGCGGGGAAGGGGGCTTAATTTATAAAGAAACAGGCCAGTAGCCTCTTATTATCCGCAGGAAAATAATTAATTAGCGATGCGCTTTCGTGTCGGTTGTACAGCTGGTGCAATCATTCTTTGGCTGACTCAGCTGCTACGTAGCTCGCAACCATTGCGAACAAAAACATCGGCCTTATAAAAGATAGGAAAGGATTAAAAACTAACAAACAAGAAATCGTTATTGATCGAGGAGAATTTCGATTTTAGATCACGTTCGCCAAGTCTCTTTCGCATTACCGTCACTCCTATGATTTACAGTCGCGTTGCCCGAAATTCCTAATTCGTCGTACCGAACGTTCGAACGGCCAACAATAAATTAAATATACGGTTAATTGAATAAACGGTTGAAAAGTTCCATTAGCGTCTCGAGTATTTAAAACGGTTTAAACCGCTAATTCCACTAACTGAGCCACGTACGACGGCCGTGTATGTGTATATAAATATATACATGTAGGGACGAGCGTTTACTTGAAATTCAGACCGTAGATTTCGAATAATCTCGCGTTGTTTCGTGTATACGCGATATGACGCGGTACGGTTATAATTAATTACGGTGCATGACGTTGTCGCGTGATAAAATATATCGTGCACATACAACAGCCAGATAATCGGGAGCGTAGCAAAGAAAAAAGAGCGCTCGTGCATTGCAATAAAACGAAGACATTCCGTAAGTGTATCTTATACGCGCGCCCTTATCGTGAAATCCTGCAGACTTTCTTTCTTCTTATACGCGCGGAGTGATTTAGTAACAAGTCATATAAAGTAATTGGTTATTCATTTATTTCATTAAAATATGCTTTGTATGAATTTTTTAATTGAATCGATGCACTGTTTTATTTTATGAAATCGCAATTCATGTTCCTAAGGTCTTTTTCGTTATTTTAAATAACAATTTTTATTGATTCACTGAGTATGCATATACAAACGTGTATACACGAATATCGGCTGGCGAAATGCACGGATAATAATACATAAATATAAAACGTGATACCGTCGCTTTGAATTCTTTGAACGTTGGCAAGCGACGAAGAATTTCGTCAACTTTTTGAGGACACTGTACTAACAAGCGGAGCCTCTTCGACTTCGAGTAGGAGCAGTCGCGCGCGCGCGCGTACATATACAAACCTTGCGAACGATGCATACAGACACAGGGACGCACGTACATGTGCTTACGTATATAATACCCTCTCTGTTCCTTAAAGCGGAAAAGATTAACAAGCGAGAACGAGCGCGGCGAGCGGGAGTGTATTGAATTGTCGAACACATCGAGAGGAGGTAAAAATCCGAGTACTCACACACCTTAATAACCCGGCCAGAGCAAACAGAAACAAATGGAGTCTTCGGTTGGTGGATCGAAGAATTTCATTATCTCGCCGGGGTTATCTCGGGTCACCGAATAGCCTATCGTCGTTCATTCAGAGACCCATTTAATTACCAGAATTCCATTCAGCTTATGCCGTCACTTCGCCTGCCGATTTGCCATCGAGTTATATGTATTATGTTTATGCGTGTATACAAACGCGGTGGACGCGCGTGTTCCTGTGGCTTCTACTCGTAAACATCGGCACAATAGAGGGACGGAGAGGAGGATGACAGACGGATAGGGTTAAAGCAGATTGAAGAGAGAAAAAGGAAACGCCGTGGGATCGGAATTTCTCGAGAACATTATTATCATTTGAAATTACGCGAGCGATTCGATTCCCTGTAATGCAGTCGCATAATTTCCGTCAATGTTACAGATGCGCGCTCTGTATACGTGCACTTGCGAGGCTCGCACAGGCACATAAATAAAGCCGCAGAAATTTATTAAATGAAGTGTAACGTTTCGGAACGGGAGCGTGATGGATGCGCGAATCGGCACGCTGTATACATGCATACATACGTGGATTCTTATCGTGTATTTACATTTCAAAGTCGATAACGATTGCCGCGATTAAAACCACAGATAATTAATGGTCATTAGAACTGATTGGACGATCGTTCGATCACGATTAGCCAGGAATTCTTTTTCTAAGCACTATTAATTGACTAATAATTTTCGAATATTATTTATTACGTATTAAAAATTAAATTTTTCCTAACATTTTTTTTTTAAATTAATTTTGAATCGTTTATAAGTGAATTTCTCTAACTCGGTTAGAGAATCCGTAACTTTTTGGAGCGCTTCAAGTAGGTACATCGCATCACGATACTGAAAGTTATTTATAATGCAGCGTTGGTCGTGGCCGAGGCTCAGACGCGAATTGTATATGATGGAATCGTGTGTACGATAGCTACCACTCGTGTAAGTACAGTGCGGTACGAAAGTCGCTCGATTGGTTCGTCCTACGATCTTGTCTTTCCTTCTTGGCCTCGTTACGCGGCCACTATTATTATTGACGTTACCAATTCTTCTCTACAGTTGTCTCTTCTCTCTCATTCGCTCTCTCCTTCCTCCGCGGTCTCGTCATATTCATAGTTTCTCGCAACCTCGTCATATTCATCATTTTACTACCGTATTCGAGCGTCGTTATTTCATGTCTACTGATTGTACTAATGAGTCATAATCGTAGCTGGTTTATGTCCATATTTTTTTATCTCCGACGTTAGCACACGAATGCGATTGCAAACGTCCTTACAAACGTCCTTTTAAACAAAACGGGAAACTTCTGATTGTGAAATTAAATATAATACGCTGGTTGAATTTTTCCAGCGAATTTTCAACACCGCGCGACTTATGCACGCTACAAATTACAAAATTACACAGTTCTGAATACACATTCTGGCCTCGGACAGTAATGTTTCGTTATCGTTTAATTACGATCCGAAATGCATAGTTTATTCATACGTGAAACGTAACGCTACATCATGTCGGTTTTTAAGCGGGTCTACATATTTAACGGGTAAATAGATTTTACGAGTTCAGGATACACACGATAATGCTTCATTATTCAATATTATTCTATATAGGGTTATTACCTCAAGCACGATGGTTCTCAACTCGTTGGTTCGTGCGGTCGTAACGCTTTCCATCGAAAATAGCTCTGTAATTTCTTACCCACGTCTGCCAAAATACACAATAGCAAATTGTTGCCACCACATGTTTTTGCATGAACTCCGCTCGTAATTAATCTTTCATTCAATCTCTGCCTGCACGCAATCAGGCTGGCTTTATGCGTTTATAGGAAGCTTCGTAAATAAAGAATGCATTGTATTCTTTCTTTGAGAGTTAAAGAAATCTGAATTTAGATTTAATTATTCCACAGTTTGTTTAATTCTCTATTATCGTGTATTTTGTCTCTATCCTAGCAATTACATGCATGGCCATGGTAAAGCGATTTGAGAAAATTATAGACGGCTTATCGCTGCGTCTGGTTTCGGTTGATCGTTGCACTGATTGCACCAAAGAGTCAACCGGCTGACCAGCCAAATGTCGAACCGATGCGATGGTCAATTTCTATTACGTAGCCGGAATATATGTATGAACGCCCCGTTGCACCTTGCAACGAGGTTAAAGGACAGCCGGGTCAAATCGATAATCCGTTTAATCCCTTTTTCTCCCTTGACTCGAAAAAGGGGGAGGAAAGAAAAACACGTTGTGTACACGTCTCGGTCCTATTTGATAAGCTCCGAATTCCAGTTCGGTCTGTTAAATATTTATGGAATTTATAAAGTTTGCTGTTTAAGTCGCGGTGTATAGTACACTTACGTCTAACAGTCCTCCACGAATGAACTCAATTTAGGAACGAGTTGGAGCCGAGCAGGGATCGATACAAGTAGACAGAGAGTTTGATGTTATTATCTTAATCCTATATAATGGAACGTTATGGCATCACGAAACATTAACGTCTCGCGCACTCGTACGGAGCGGAGAATAACATTTTGGAAAGTAGAAAGGTTTTCTCGTTTATTTAACAGCGTTCCTCAAGTTTTCGTGGGTATCGTGAAATTCAAGGGAAATTTAATACTTTTATACGCGCGTTTTATACAAAGGGATGGAAAGCCAGCTTTTTCAATTTCCACCGAGCCACCACCAGACACGTCGTATAAAAATGCATTAAATAACTGGGTAGGAGGGAAAGGTTGTTCAATCGATAGTTGAAGAAACCACTTTAAACCGTCGCGAAAGTATTTTGTTGCGAATAAGATCAAAGGTTAATCCGATTGCTGTGTGAGATTAGATTCTACAAAGGAGATTTACGTCCGTGCACCTTTATTCTTTCCTCCCCCGCCACCCTCCACTTACATGCTTTATTAAATCGCTGCGTTCTCTTTATCTTCTCTCGCCAACCCCCCCACTTACCTCGGAGCATCTGATCGATGAAAGAATAAACGTCCACTAAATCTTTATTCAACAGACAAATTTCGCTTCATCAAATAGTAATTTCGTTTTACCTTAAAAATCCTTTAATGCACCACAGTTTCCGACTTGGCAAAAAATAAAATCTCAACCCTTCAAGAGTTTCTTTCAACGAGGCCGAAAAATCGTGCAAATG